ACAAGTCCAAGGAATGTTCCCAAGTTATCAAATGGAAATTATGAAAGATGTTTTGGTACACCACAAATGATCTCACCTGATCTGTAAGTGTTAAATGTACCATATTTCTGTGACACAAAAGTCTTCAGAAAACAAGCACTAATTTATAATTTAACCCACTTACAAGTCAAAACCAAGCTCAAAATCTACAGGCATAAAGTAAACAGTCTGGACAACTGGTTGACATGGGAATTATAAGGACAGAGGAAAGGAGTGGCTTGCTTTGTAGGAGCCCCTATTACACAAAAAGACCAAACCAGACTCATAAATAAGTACATGTGGCACCGGTATCTCCTCTAAGCAATAAGCATTAATACTGATAAAAAGAACAAACATGTGGGCTTAATAGTCAGAATAATTTGTCAACTCTGGTTATGGTTAAAAAAAATTCTGCTGGAAATAGACTATAACAGTGTATAGACTTGATAAAATAATGATACAAGAATAAGAATAAGAAACAGATAAAATATGAGGATATTGAGCATTTTCTTTGTTCCTTACTTATCAATTTGGACTTTTGACGAGGTCAATACGTAATATATGGACCTGTTCAGATTATATTGACTGAGGATGAAGTCTGAGTGTCAATATAATCTAACAGGTCCATATATAACGTAATGACTGAGTGAAAGTTCTATAATTTATATTACATATGTAAATCTATACTACTAAAACAGTGAGGTCCAATTTGTTAGCTGGCATGATGTAAAAATGATGAATCAAAGAATATAACTTTATATATAACTAATATAGGACAATGGTTTGTTTAAAAATTCCACCATTCCAGGCCCTTTTGTTTTCCACATAATTAATATTACAAACAATAAGTTCTAGGTCGAATCCAATACAAATACCAATAGTATATGTCACATGTAGTTTCCAGTTGTAGGTACCTGTTACCTTCTGTAAATCCCTCCTCTATCAGGAGAACCTGGAATTCTTTCAGCGGTTGTTTTATATCTATGTTACACTATAGTACACTATTTAACAAGTCTGTTTTCTTTCACCTCAAAACTATGATAAATTTTGATTAATTAGTTAAAATATAGTAAGTTTATTGTAGTAAGAAAACCAGGACGGGTTCAAACAGAAAGATTTTGAAAGCAGAGATAACTGTGCACCTTACAACCAGCATGACTTTACCAGATGACAATACAAATACTAAAAAAACAGGCTAAAAATAAGGCATAGGTACTTTAATACAGTCACGGACCTGAGGCATGTCGCGATGTGTTCTAGTAGTGTATTATGGAAATGGACTTCAATGTTCTTTCTGTGTATTTTTCGTTGTATTTTGCAAGATTTTTAATATTAACCATCAATGTATATATAAATAGAAAATAGAGTCCATATACTTAAAATAGAAACAAGGCTTCAGGCTCAAGGAATACCCTTTGAATCACGTGATCTGAATAACCAATGAAAAAAGAATGCTACACCTTATGTAGTATTATGTTATTATGTCAAGTCAATACACTATTGTTGTTAATATACTTTAATATCCATTTTGTGCTATCCTTTTGTTTTTCTAAAAGGCCTCTTACTTCAGCTGAGTAAAATTGTTGTTTCAAAATGTTTGTTCTTGAAATCAGGAGGGTGAAAGAGTGCAACTGATTTCAGAACAGAATATTAGCAATAAGCAATAAATGTTATAATTTATACAATTCAATCATAAAAAAAAAAAGATTAAAAACATTCATTTTTGTAGGAGGAATGAGCTTATCTTGGTGACCGACTAGCCGATGTGTACATTTCATTACTTATTGTAAGATGGTAGGCATGGCTTAAGGCAATATATGGTCAGTGACTGTATATCATATTTATATAGCAAATGCAGCAGCTGATAGATGCAAAGTGAAGACATTGCCTCATTTTGTCAATGTTTGGTCTCTGGTGGATAGTTGTCTCATCTGCATTCATACCACATCTCCTTATTTTTTTTTTAAATTGGAACCCACAAATATTGATAATGTAACTATTAAATCCAAAAACTGTAAATAGTTATTAATCAACTAAATCATTTCTTCAAAATGCTTTATTATGCATATTTTTTTTGTAAAACAAATAATGCAACAAAATTATGTTCTTAGAAACAATTCATAACTGGCTATACAAAGAAATACTGCTGTTTATCGGTTATCACCTGCAGTCTTATTGGCAAATAAAAGGTGGTAGGAATTCCCTTTTTAAGTTACTTCAAAATAATGTGATCATATAATAAAAATTATCTAAATTGCTTAACACTATCGAGATATTTATAATTTATATAGAATACTGTAAATTAAAATGAACAGAAGGAGTTATATGCTTAAAAAATAAGTCCTTAAAAAACTCAAAGTAAGAAATAAATCCATACATATTTCTTTTTCTGGATTTTTAATTGAACAATGAAAAAATAGCAATTATGAAATGACCATAAATGGTGAAATGTGGAGCTAATCATATTAAAAAAATATTAAGTATTTGTTAGAAGTGAAAGATCTAAATATTAACTTTAATTTAATTTTCACTCTTTTGGAATCATAAAATAAGTGTAAACTTAGACATTTTTCTCTCCAAAATTAATAATAAATGCAAGCAATTCCTGAGAACAAAAAATGAATTTAGTGAAAGTAATAAAACCTAGAACATGAAAAATCTGATATTTTGTAAAGGAATGTATGCAGGCAAATAAGACAATTTCCTGAAAATTTCATGCATGGGTATTTGGTAAAGATAAAGAATTTGGTTTTGGATGTGAACATTAGAATATAATAAAACATATTCTACAAAGTTAAATTAGCTCTCTTGTTCTTTGCCTCCTCCCTAGAAATGACTCGAGAAGTATTAATGAAATACAAAATTTGATTTGAAATGAATAAAGTTGTATAGTTGCCTAATTCAAAAAGCCCCACATTTTCTGTTTCAGAAACACATTCAATTAATATACACACTTTACAAAAAAACTAAAACTAGAAAAATCAGACTGAAAATACATTCCAATCAATGGAAATACAAATGTATCATGTATCCTAAAAACAAAAAGTTTTTGACATTTCTCAAAGGTACAGTATAGATGACATACTGTTAATTCATAAATTAATGCAAAATAAAAGAGGATAATCATTTTTATATTGGTAATTCAACTCATATTTAGATTTTTGCAAACATCAGGTACAATAATCATGGGACTTGTATAACTGAAATAAAATAAAATGCTCCGCTGGGGCGCAGCTTGATACGATCGCAGAGGTCGAACCCTGAACAGTTGGGGCAAATATGGACACAACATTCAAGCTTGATACAGCACTGAATTTGGATTGTAATTAAATATTTGACACAGCATAGGTTTCTGACACAGAATGAATGTGGTCTAAGAACTTAAAAATTTTTAATTTACCTATTCAAACCATATCATTATTATTTGCTTTTATATATAAATCAGAAATAACCAATCTAAAATGGAAAATCTTAAAGAAAAAAAAGGAAACCCCCCCCCCCCCCCCAAATTTTTTGAACCCCCTTATGATTCATCACCCCCAAACTCAATCCCAGCCTTCCCTTTGTGGTATGGTACCTTGCAGTACAATTTCAGAGAGATCCATACACTTGAACACAAGTTATTGTCTGGAAAGTAGAAAAATGCTTGTTTTTTGGCCCCTTTTTGGCCCCAAATTCCTAAACGTTTAAGGCAATTACCCCCAAACTCAATTCCAGCTTTCCCTTTGTGATATGGAACCTTGTAGTACAATTTCATAAAGATCCATACACTTACACACAAGTTATTGTCATGAAACTAGAAAAATGCTTGTTTTTTGCCCCTTTTAGGCCCCTAATTCCTAAAATTTGGAGGCAATTACCCCCAAAATCAATCCCAGCATTCCCTTTGTGATATGAAACCTTGTAGTACAATTTCATAACGATCAATACACTTACACACAAGTTATTATCCTGAAACTAGAAAAATGCTTGTTTTTTGGCCCCTTTATGGCCCCTAATTCCTACAATTTTGAGGCAATTACCCCCAAAATCAATCCCAGCCTTCCCTTTGTGGTATGGTACCTTGCAGTACAATTTCAGAGAGATCCATACACTTGAACACAAGTAATTGTCTGGAAACTCAAAAAATGCTTGTTTTTGCCCCTTTTTGGCCCCTAATTCCTAAAATTTGGAGGCAATTACCCCCAAAATCAATCCCAGCATTCCCTTTGTGATATGGAACCTTGTGGTACAATGTCAGAGAGATCCATACACTAATACACAAGTTATGTCTGGAAGTTACAAAAATGCTTATTTTTGGCCCCTTTTTCCTTAACTTTTGGTACCATAACCCCCAAACCTTCCTTTTGTGGTATTGAACCTTATGGTAAAATTTCATAGAGATCCATTCACTTAAACTAAAGTTAGAGTGTGAAAACCAATGTGTCTTCGGACGACGACGACGGACGCCAACGTCATACCAATATACGACCGCAAAATTTTTTTGCGGTTGTATATAAATGAAAAAATTCTTAATTTACAGTAAATGAAATTTAGTACAAAAAATCAAGTAGTTACTATTTATTGTTGCAAATGGGACAATTAAGACAATAAAAAAAGAATGTGTCTGAGGACAAGAATGCCCCCACTCAAATTTTCCAATTTTCCAAGTAAAAAAGGGGCATAACTCTAGAACGGTAAATGACTCACAACCAAAATTCGAACTCTGTGGTCCTGAGCATTGTGTGTGTGTTTCACAAAATTTGGATGAGACAAACTTAAGTAAGAGTGTGGAAACAAAAATGGGACAGACGGTCAAGGGTAACACTTAATGTCCCCGTTGCTTACGGCGGGGACATAACTTTCAACAGAAATATGTGAAATGGCAAACAGGAAGTAGAGACAACTATAAATGCTCAACACAATAAACAATAAAGCTATGCCATATAAAGTACAGTAACAACTATCAGTATTTATGCATAAGTGTTCAAAAAGTCATCTTCAAGTCGTACCATCTTGGATTGAATAAAACATAGTCTAAAAACAAACATTTACCTGGAATGGCAAACATCATCTATCCTCTTATTCTATAAATCACATTCATCATATTTTCTTTCAACAAATCCCAATGTACAACTTAATACTATGCAGAATATCAATAAGCACTGATATCAAAATAGAAGCACAGCCATTTTGTTTCTGTTACTGTAAAAGCAGAAATTTTCGTTGTTGATTTAATTTCTTATATTTTGTGGAAAGATAATATCCATGACAATTAAAACCCCAACAAAAACACACAAAAATTAATGTTTCTACAGTACCAGTATATGCAAAAAGGATTTGGAACATTTGATTTTGAAGGTTACACCTGGAAATGTGTCCTCTTGACATTTCTATCCATCAGGTCATCAATTAACAAAGGATTTCAATACAAGATCCTTTTATCACTCACCACTCGTCATATATTTATCAATACTCTAGCAACAATAATATATAATACGTGTTGTAATTAACTATTTATCATAAAAAAACTATAGTAGTTCACAGTGTCTTTAAAATGATATCACAGGCACACATGTACTTCTTTTTTCTTCAACTGAAATCTTTCTTAGACCTGATCCAATTAAAAGGAATGAAACAAAGTTGAAAAGTATTTCCAATATTTCTATTTGTTTATTAATCCTTCTACAATTTCATTATTGCTTTAAAATTGCAATATATAATCTTATAAATTGCAATGATTAAGACAAAATTTAGCCAAACATGCCTTGCTGTCTTAATGTGAGAAATTAATGTTATTATCATGATTAGTTTTTGAACCTTTAGACAAGAAATCATTCAATGAAATAAAAAAAGTAACATATAATATAATTGCAAACAAAATAAACTTTTACAGATGTATTCAACAAAAATTCAACAAAAGCACAAGAAGATTTATAGATGTCCCTATAGTTTTCTTTGAACATGCTCAGAAAGAAATATGCATATAGGTTTACTAACCAACTCTATACATGTACATGTATAACTCCTCTGGCAACTAGTACAATCTTAACATTAATATTGACAAAAATAAAAATCTTCAACTAAAAATTAAAATTTAAAATTAAAGGACTTTGCTGAAAAATACCTTTTATTGCATCAATTTGTTTTTTTTAAATAAGAATTGAATGCCTCTTTTTGTAATTTTATTATAAAACTGACAAAACAAAGCATTCAATTATTACAATTATATTTTTATTCTACAATCACGAAATCGGGATTTAAGTCAAGCCTTTCATTTGTTTTATTTTTAAGCATTATTTTAACATGTCATGGAGAGCACATGCAGTAATAGATGTGACATTTTATACAGAAATAAATATAACCTCAGCCAATCAAAATGACGGATTCATATGAAACTTATATGTCATGTAATTATTATCCCCTTAATCTATAGCTATTGACTATATATACAACCTGTATAACACTTTTATTGTGCTTATGCAAGATGTTTTACTTTATAAATGAAACAGAAAGTTAAAGAGAAATGAATGGTTATAATATTCTTAGTATAGCACCTGCTGTATTCTAATTACAACTTTTTTTTAACAATGAGTTGAAAATGTTCACCAGTTGATCAGTTATAATCAATTAATTTCTACTGGAACTGGACAATCTTCACCCAAATGGTATTCTGAAAGGTAAAACCTCTTACTTTAACACATTCAAATTTGTTTCTAAGTGAACAACTACTGTGGATTCATTATTATTCATTGTATGCAAAATTTCGAGAATTTCAATTTGTGTGGGTTAATCAAGAATTAAGTGTTCAACAAAATACCAATGTTTTATAGGCTTGTAAACAAAATGTGTTCAAACCATGAAATCGAGTAGCCAAATACAAATGGGAGATTTGGCATGCCGTAAAACCTGGTTTAACCAACCACTTCTATACAAAAGTGCATGTTCCACAACACTAAAATTTTTGTCTATGAATAAATGTTTAGCAATTATATATATTTGTAATATATAGAGTATTTAACTGTATAACAAAAATTTTACTGAAATTACTCTGGTGTTCCACCTTCAAAAAATATATCTGACATAATGAAAAATGTGAACAATTTTTTCACCCAAGGGCTGTTCCAGATAAAATGTTCATGGTGTCTTTATATACACACTTTCAGACGCCAAACCACCCATGGAAATTTGACCATACACCTTTATGCTAAAATAGGTTCAAGCCCCAACCACCTATAGAAATTCAAAACATTCAAAGATAACAGATAACTTTTCTGGCACATCCCTCAATTTTTTTTTAGAATTTCAATGTTCATACGTATACATATATCACAAACAGAAGAAAAATCTGAAATTAGAGTTCCAAAAAAATGTACATTTTTTTTAATTGATTGCATCACAGTAAATTATTAAACTATCAATTAAAATATTCTTCAAACAATAACAACTTCTAAAACCCTAAAAATTGGTATCATTGGGTTTTTTTAATCCTCAGTATTTTTTATAAATGTCTATACGTATAAATATAGTCAATGTAATGTTTATAAAAAATCTAATCGTCAATAACAATAATGGGATCAGCCTCCTTTTGATCATCTATATTGGTCGTATTTTTCGTTGCGTTATTAGATATGTTCCTCACCTCAGTTTCATCATTATCATCATCATCACTATCTAATGATATAAATACTGATTCTTCATTCTTAACAACAACATAATCCATTGGTGGTTCCTGTTTGACTGAATTTTTATCGTTGTCATTATCGTTTGTTGAAGAAGTAGGCTCGTGTTGTCCAAAAGAGGAATCTAATGGTACCATTGACTTACGTGAAAAATTCATAGTAATGCCATCATTAATACTAACAAGTCCTGTTGTAATTACATTTTTTTCTAAAAATCCTGAACTATTTTCTTCTTTTACTTTGACTCTTTCTTGAGTATTTTGAGATGTTTGTTCATTTAAATGAGGTTTTGAAATATTTGATTCAATTGGCATTGCCTCTTGAACATTCGGATATGGTCTTGTATCTGTAAGTTGTGAATTGTTTGGACTGTTTGCATTGATCATGGTTGTAATATCTGCTGCTGGGCTAGGTGAGCCTAGATTTTGTCCAAGCTGTTCTAACCTGAGTGAATCTGATGTGGCAGTGGAAGAGAATGTATTTATTAGTGTGGCATTTTGTGGTGGCAATGTTGATGTGATTGAGTTATATGAAGATGACAATGGTACCCTGTTGTACTGAGGCGGTGGTATATAACGAACACTACTATTACTAGTATAGGTTGGTGGTGGAGATTTCATACGATTGGTTCCTTGCGCTATATTAGAAGGGGGAAACAATGGACCCAACTGTCCAACATTAAACTGAGGTCTTCCAGCACTAGTAATTGGTACTTTGGCAGACTGAATATTTGAAGCACCAAGTGGCATACCAAATTTTGGCATGTTCAGTTGTATGCCTAAAGCACTAGCACTCAAATGTCCTGGTATAATATTTACATTTGAACCTGTCTGTAACGATTCAGTTAATAGTCTTTGCTCCTCCTCTGCCTTTTGCACAAACCTGTCTTCATAGGGTACACATACACCATTTTCAACATTGTCAATTTCAACAATGGGTGATGACAAGTTTTCATTTTCATCAGCTCGATATAAACAAACTGGAATCGGCACTTCTGGATCAGTTGATTGTCTATGTTTTTTATATGGAATAAGTTCATCCTCATCCTCATCATCTTCATCACTTATTCTAGATTTCACACTTTTCCCCTCCTTATGAGATAAATGACGTCTTCTAGATTGCCCTCTACCTGAGTATTGAGATTTTGATTCTTGAAGTTTGTGTTTATCTTTTATCCTTTTGTCAAGTACCGATATTTCTTTTTTATCAAGTACAGACATTACATCTACTATGGGTATAGAACAAGGTGAAATTGCATCCTTCTTTTTGACAATGCTTTTCTTCTTTTCTATTTCTTTTTTGCACAAAGTCTTCCCTTTCAATTCATACGTGTTTAATTTCAATGACTTACTACTTGCTGGAGGTGAACTTAATGCTTTCTTACTATCTGTTAGTGACACTGATGAAGATTTTATTAGTGATGTGTATTGAACTTGCTCAGGAGTTTCGCTCATTTTTTTCTGAACCATGTGTTTTTGTGCCAGTTCTGGTGATTCGCTGCGTCTTTGAGGGGTTTTCTGCCTCAATGCTACTTTCCAGTTTCTTACACTAGTTGTGTTTCGTTTATCCCCAGAACGTGGTGATCTGTTTCTTTGATTCGCTCCTCTCCTTCCACCTCCACCTCTACCTCTCCCAACACCTCCCCTTTTGACATGTTTTCCATCCCCCTTATCAGATTTTGATGGCTTTATGTCGTCTTCACTATCTGAGCTACTGTATCTGTATACATCTGTAGATGATGATTCTAAGGTTGTGTCTTTTACATAAACTTCTGCAATGAATGAATAAGTGAAAGATTTTTTTACCAACTAACAGATTTTTCTTGAAAATTGATCTTAATTCTGTGTACGACTATGTTTGTACTGGTTTATATATAAGGATCATGCAGACAGCAACCCATACTAATTAAAAATATCATCATTCAGAAAGGGATTCCTATATTGATTAATTTAGCTGATGTTTCACAAAATTTTGGAATAAAGATAAAGCTTCTATCGCAATACACACTATGTCTCTTTGGTAAGTTGGGAGTACCGTAGATACTCGCCTAATAGTCGATCCTACTATAAGTCGGGGGCCCTTTTCAGCTCCAAATTCTAAGGATTTAGTCTTGACCCTCGTATAAGTCTGACAAAATTTGGGCATTTTTTTTTCAGCTGACAGTAACTGAACGCCGGTAAAACCAATGCAAATCCAGGAATAATATTCATTTCTGCATTAATGTTTGTTTGGTTTGAATTTAGTTGATGCTCATCATGATAATTTATATTGCTGTTAATAATAAAGATGTATTCATTTCTCTTGTTTTGTTCACTGTTCAAATGTTAGATTAGCCATGTGTTGTTTACATAATGCATCAATGATTTTGTAGGGTATGACTAATAACCTATTGTTTGAGAAAAGCGAATATAAACCAATATGAACCTGAAAAATTTAAAGTCAATCAACACTTGATGAAAATATTTTTCACAGCATACATAACTTGGTGTTAAATGAGCATGTACACTTCATAATTCTTATTATATTGTGATGATTAAAGGATTAAAAAAATTAAGTGAAGCTAATCAATATATTAAAATAACTAACTCCAACTCATTAGTGTCATCTGTTTACCTATCACTGATAGTTTTCACACCTTTAGTAAATACAACTCTTTGTCTCTTAATTGGGGTTATCAATGGATTATATTGGCTTGTCAATCAATTTTGTAATTTTTGTTTACCTGAGACACTTTAATGAATAATATTTTGATTTTGGGAATGAATCTTAAAATTATTTTTTGATTATTATATGATTTATAAGCATTGAATTGATATCATGTTATCACAATAATGACACAATAACTCCGCTGAAAACATCCTTTCACATATTTGGTACATTGTTATCTCCTTTTCATTTTTGGTTCTTGGCTCTTCTTTTGGGTTTATAGGAAAACCATGTGACCATGAAAATCAATACACAAACCAGAAACAGTAGAATTTCAACACGAATTTGCAGAAAATGTTTACCAAAGAACAAATAAAACACAAAGACAGTATTGTAGTCATTTATTTTCAACAAAAACTTTTTATTTATTGATTTATGTAGGTTTGGCAATCAAAAACGTAGTTTTGACCAGGAAATTCACTCCTGACCACTTTTCTCAAGCTTGGATTTTTCCTCTGGTCGCTAGATCTCGTCTATTAGTCGGTCCCCCTCTCTGGATTATGAATTTTACTCCCAATTTTCCGACTAATAAGCGAGTAGGAACGGTATTTTTTTTCCTTACTGTGGATTCATTATTATTCGTTGGATACCAATTTTACTGGATTTCGTAGGAAGGCATTCACCACGAATTTAAATGTTAAACAAGGTACAAATTTTCTAAAGGCTAGTATGCAGACTTTGGCAAAACCACAAAATGAAATATCCATATTTCCCTAATACATAGAAATTTGTACCAATGAAAATAAGAATCCACATTATGTATTTTGGCAATACTTACAGTTGTTAGTTAGAACTCAGACTTAATTTACTACTCTTTTAGTTTGACTTATGTAGATCAAAATTTGTTAACAAGATGAGATGAAATCAATTTTTGACTTCAGGTCAGTGTCTGTTTTTCATTAGTTTTCCATCAACACAGATTTTTTTAATTTGTCAACTTTGATCTATGATGGTGCAATTATTAATGAGACTTTACAGATACTGAAATGACAATCAGAAATCACTGAGATGGAATTGATTACAGTAATTGATTGTTTACTGTTTTTAAAAGCTTTGGTTGTTATGCAAACCAAATAATTGACCTATAATTGTATCTATCGACTTACCACCCCATCTCCCATGTCCTTCCTTGCCACACAACTTTAATTTTTGTATCCACACTAACAATTTTGCAAAATCTTGTCTTTTTAGAGACACTCTGGCTAATAACTTTAAAACCTCAGTCTTTGCATCTGTGAGATCTGCAAAAGAAAGAAAACTTATCTAGACATGAAATATGGTTCTTTTTTTTCTGAATAATAAAACTATTGCCAAAATTTCAGAATTTACAGTATTTATATGACAGAATAACTACTCTAAATTAAAAAGAAAAATCAATAGTTTCAACATTCCATATCTACCTCTATACTGTAAATTTTGAGATTAATGCATGTACCTGTACTTAATCAATTAATGTAAAGAGTCAAAACTTGATTGAAATGAGAAAAAATATGTAAGGAGGAGTTTTGGCAAGGATGCCAGGCTACCATATTGTTTATTTTTTTCTGGCTTCTCAAACTTTTTGGCTTATCAGTCAACACACAGCTTTTTATCTTGAACTCTTCACACCATATGATTTTGACAGAAAATCAATAATCAGCTGATTGTAAAAAAACGGTCAAGCAATTGATAGCTATCGGCAATAAACTAATTAATAAAAGGTGTTAATTATGTTGTTTTATAAATTATTGCAGTCGAATGGCTTCATATGTCAAATTAGTGAGTTGTTTTTACAACTTTTAAAAAAAAAAATTGTTAAGAAGTGGATACTTCACAATTGTGTTAGCGCTCCTTTTTATACGCCCGTTAACGGGACGTATTATGGTATACCGTTGTCTGTCTGTCCGTCTGTCGTCAACATGTCAGACATTAACTCAAAAACGCTTCAACACATTTGCAGAAAACTTTGGTGATTTGTTCATATCTATTGATGTGAGCTCCCTTTCGTTTTTTATAAAATTTAGATTTTACATTTCTGAATTATGGGGTTCTATTCATAAAAAAAGGGGATTATCCAGTTTTTGGACAATAACTCAAAAATGCTTTCACCAATTTGCAAGAAACTTTGGTCTATTGACATGAGCTCCTTTTGAATTTTATAAATTTTAGATTTTATGTTTCCGAGTTATGGAGTTTTATTCATTAAAAAAAAGGGGGATTTTCCAGTTTTTGGACAATAACTCAAAAATGCTTTCAGCAGTTCTCATGAAACTTTGGAGAATTGTTTATATCTATTGATGTAAGCTCCCTTTCAATTTTTATAAATTTTTAAATTTTACACTTCCGAGTTATGGGATTTTATTCATAAATAAACTGTTAACACAGAGATATGTCTCGCCTTTTTGTACTTTTGATAATGCAAATGTTGAAATTAAAATAGTTATACTTTAACAAGTAAGTTATGCAAATATTCAAAGTCAATGAACCATGACTGAAGGTACATGGCAAAACAATCTCCATGGAAATGAGATGTGCCAATGCTAATACAACTGCATACCAAATACCATAGACTTGCCATAAGTCGTTCCCTTTCAACAAACCTAAACACAAACATTGACTTGTAAACTATGTAAAAGTTTCAAAGTCAATGAACCATGATGAGGGGGTGGGGCTATATAATTTTCATGGAAACAAGACTTGCAAATGCCAATAAATTAGCATACCAAATATCATTGACTTAACATTAGCGGTTCATCTTAAACTGATCTAATCACAAACTAATACATGTAAACTAAGCAAAAGTTTCAAAGTCAATAGACCATGACTGAGGGGGCAGAACCAATGGAAATGAGATGTGCTAATGCTTATACAATTGCATACCAATTAACATTGGGCTACCACTAGTGGTTCCCCTTGAACTGACCTAATCACAAACTAATAGATGTAAACTAAGCAAAAGTTTCAAAGTCAATAGACCATGACTGAGGGGGCAGGGCCAAATAATCTCCATGGAAATGAGATGTGCCAGTGCTAATACAACTGCATACCAAATATCATTCACCAACCACTAGTGGTTCACCTTAAACCAGACCTAATCACAAACTAATACATTGTTGACGCCTCCGCCGCCGCCACTGGAAACAGCATACCTATGTCTCGCTTTTTGACTCCGTCAAGGCGAAACAAAAAGGGGTGATTTTCTAGATTTCGGACAATACCTTTAAAGTGCTTTGAGCAAATTTCATTAAACTTTGGTGACTGGTTTATATCAATTAAGATAACCTCCCTTTAGTTTTTCACAAATTTCTGATATGACATTGAGAAGTTATTGAACTTTATTCGTAAAAAATGCGATGGGCGTATCATGCACTCATGGCTCAGCTGTTTATTACATTTTAAATTTATATCTTAATGATGGGCCAGAACAGATAGCTTTTATTTAAAGAAACATCAACAAAGATAAGAAAATCTCTGATTTTATTCTCAGAGCCTTTTAACAAAAAGGGATCCAATATCAGATAAACTTATAGAAAATGAAAGCAGCCCAGCTGACATTGAAGATAATTTTTCTGAATGCAATATTAAAAAAATTTGATAAATTATATGATGATATGTAAGACCAAATAGTAACATTTTCACATGTTGTGAAAACAGCTTTAATATACACATTGTTCAAATAATATAAATGATGTTTGTCAAGTTGCACTTAAACAGTAAGAAGTTTATAATCCATTTTGTATATAAAACAGCATACATGAGTCAACTATGCTGCAAATTGAAATTTATTTTGTTTGTAAAAAGGAAAATAAGTTGGCGAAAAAATATTGAATGTGACAAAAAAATATTGAATGTGACAAAAAAAAACTTTGAAAGAGGTGGTGAAAAAATAATTTGACCAAAGGGAAACGCTGCCTGGAGAGTATAGGACCAACAGGAAGAGCCAGATTTTTAATGTGCTAGTTGAGAAAGTGAAGCTGAAGGTATACATGTCACTCTACCCATACTAATTTTTTGACTCTGAGGTGATTAGCCTAAGCTCTTACTCTTAATTATAAATGACACATACAAATAAGCAGCAAATACTAGTCTTTCATTTGATCCAGCCAAACATAGAACTCTAGACCTCCCTCACTGGAGGTGAGCATGCCACCATAGAACCAGAGTGAAAAACATTGCCATGAATTTATCAATTAGAGATTGTAAGTGCATTCCTATTTCTTGATAATTATAGGGCAAAATTCTAAAGAAAATTTTGTGTTAAAAGTTTGTTACTTGGACGACTAATAGATTTCCACTAATGTCCGACTCAGAAAAGTAGAAAACAAAAATTGTAACCTTGGTACTATACTAAATTGAATGAACCTATGGATAGAAAGCGCATATCCCAAATTTCAATGAAAAAATAGAAGTTCACCTCTCTTAAGTAACGTGTCGTTTTCATTTTTTACAGCACTGGGTCGATACCTCTGCTGGTGGACTATCAGTCCCCAAGGTATCATCAGCTCAGTAGTCAGTACTTCATTACTGACATGATTTATAACAGACCTTTTAAATTGTCCGTTTATAAATTTCAAAATTATTAGAAAGTAAGGTTTCAACTCCCTCAGGCAAAATTGACCTTAGATGGATTTGGCAATTTTTTTAGGTCCTTTTTGCTTATATATCTCTTCTGTTGTTTAGGTTCTTGTACATCCTTGGCTTTCAAATATTCGGCTTTGCACGTTCCTGATGAAGGTAAATCCAGAAAAGCGCTTCGGACGCATGAAATTTATAACATCTTGTTTTCATTTTTTACAGCACTGGGTCGATACCTCTGCTGGTGGACTATCAGTCCCTGAGGGTATCATCAGCTCAATAGTCAGTACTTCAGTACTGACATGATTTATAACAAACCTTTTTAAATTGTCCGTTAATGAATTTCGAAAATATTAGAAACTAAGGTTTCAACTCCCTCAGGCAAAGTTGACCTTAGATGGATTTGGCTATTTATTTAGGTCCTTTTTGGTTATATAGCTCTTCTACTGTTTAGGTTCTTATACATCCTTGGCTTTCAAATATTCGGCTTTGCACGTTCCTGATGAAGGTAAATCCAGAAAAGCACTTTGGACGCATGAAACTTATAACGTGTTGTTTTCATTTTTTAAGTATGTTTATTTATAATAAGAATGTATGTTTTTATTTAAGGGATATTCATCCTTAAATTTCAAATTAAACAGACCAAATTTTAGGGATTGATGAACATAATTATTTTAAGGTGTCAGACTTAAATCCTACTTTATGGAGTTAAATGTCTATATAACTTAGGGAACTATCAAGACATGAAGATGTCAATTCTTTACATTTATGTTGCTTGATTGCTGTTTTTTCCCCTGGAACTGATTTTATTCTTACCAGTTATTGATGATGCTACTGCTGCTGAAGTGAATGTTTTGCGTAGTTTCATAGGTGAATCTGGTCTATCCTCTACACCCAACGACCTAGAAATGCAAATAAAATATAAGTATAACACATTTCAAAAGTTATTTTTGAATTAAGTTACATAGAAAACACTGCTACTACTTTGGTTGTCTTGCCATTTTCATTATTCTTTCCCCCATCTGAAAATCAATGAATCTTTTAAATGTTCAATTAAAATGATAAATATATATTGTTAACTTTATGTATTAGCATGCCAAAAGTCTTGTAAGAGTTATCTCCCATTTGACCCCTTTTCAGAAACTCTGAAATCAAGAATTTGAATATTAAATTATTATTTGACACAAGTTGTATTCCTTAATAGTCAATAGTCATGATAGTACTGGTTTACATGCAATAAAGAGTTAAGGATAAGATGCTTTTAACCACTTAAAATTTGTATTGAACAGTATGAATTCAGAAGTTTTTTTTTTTTAATTATATACGTGTACCATGTGTACATGGTGTAATATAAATCTGAAAATGTTTGTATTTACAAGTCATAGAAACCTTACAATATGACATTTTTTAAAACATAACCAAAATAATTGGAGGTTTATACATAATACATTTGTAAAGTATTATTCAATTTCAATTTGCCATAAAGTATTAAATACAATAAAAATTGAAAATATTGAGGTTTGAGGTTTTTCTTAATTCATTTTTTAATTACTAATTAATATATAACATGAGATTTTTCCTGAAGGATGATAAAAAACCCAAAATTATGTCCACACTAGATTCTTAATTTCTATTGATTAAACTTTGACTCATCAAATTTTTTAAAACATAGTCCTTTAATCGAACTGTATAGCGCTAACAAATAATCTATTATAAGAGAAAACTTTACTACACTACTTACACCATGTGATTAGCAATAAAGCAATAGAGGATTAGATGTTATTTGATATCAGGTATTCAATCAGTGAGTATGAAATATTCAAATGTTAGGAATCAACTGTAGAACAAATATACTGGTATTTACAACTTGTAACCTTGAAGTACATCTCATTACATTTGGGTTGAATGAGTTTGAAGAAAAAATATTTTCAATTTCTCTATTCGCCAGTCAAAACTAATCCTAATACTAAGTTACTAATTTTACATCTTAAAGACCCAAATTTCTACATACAATAAGCTTGAAGCTGTGAAGCAGGCTTTATATATCATAATACGTGACTGTGACTGACAAATGGATTCAAATGCTAATTTTAACTTAATTCACTCGTGTAATATAAAGGTCTCATCTACACAATTTTTGCTGAACACCATTTTTGTAAATGTATACAAGAGAAGTGAGTGGTGAAGTTTCACTTATATACAAAACAAATGTGTTGTTCCCTAAAATAAAACTGTAGAGGTGAAATATTATTATTTCATTACTATAATCTTCTTTATTCTGTAGATGTTTTCAAACTTTTTCAGCCTATTTCTAATATTGAAAAGAACATTCAAGAATATTTGAATCCAAAAAGAAAATTGCAGAATTGAAGCAAATGTATCAAAAATTTTACCTAATAATCAGCTTTTCCAATTATTCACTAATTAGTTGCCAACCGTTTTATTGTAGAGGGTGGACCTTGATTGATATGTTTCAGTCAGTGGAAAGAATAATTTATTTCTTCACCAGAAATCAGGTGTAAAAATGTGTTTCAACAGATGGATAAAACAATTTCTTTTTTAAAGAAAATTCTAACATATTTCTTTCCTTCACACAATTCTTATAACACAGTTTTAGATCAGAATTTTGAGTCCCTTTCAGATTTTAATCCCCTCAAGGAATAAAGTAAGAAGGAATGTTGATGCCTATCTTACAATAGACTTTTTTCTTATTACCGACTTTTGACTCCGGAGTTTATATTTTTTCTACAGGTTACCTTCTCTGTGGTGGGACACCCTAGTACTCTGTCAAGTAAGAGCAACCTAAAGAAGTAAAATCAAGCTTATGATCGGTACAATTATGAGGGGATATGAACTGTTTTATGTTTTCTATATACGAAATCATCTTCGGAAAACAGTTAACTTTCCCCCCAATTTGCACCGATTATATGTTAGATTTTACTTCTTTTGCTTGCTCATACCTGACCGAGTACCAGGATGTCCTACCACAGAGTAAGTAACCTGTCGAAAACTTATAAAATTCGGAGTCAAAGGTTAGTAATATGAAAAAAGTCTATTAGTTCTAAACAAATATACATGTTAAACAGTACAGCAATAATATACTTCAAGCATACCTTCAGAACATTTACTCTACAACATTTAACTTACCCCTTCTTAGAATCACTGTCATTTCAACCATGCATAGAAGAAAGAAGAGAGAAAGAAAAAATTAGCATAGAAAAATACTTCTGAGAATCAGTATGTAAATAACACATACACGTAGCTGAGAGGGTGATAGAGCAGATTGTTACCAAGAGAAAACATTATCAACTGCGGCAAAGCCAAGGTTGACAATGTCTTTCGAGGGGTAACAATCTACTCTATCACTCTCTCAGATATGTTATTTAATTCATTATACTGAATGTTCTGCTATTACTGTCTATTAAATTTCAAATTCAAAGTAATAAACTATGACGTCTTGTACATAACAACCATCCGTATTTAATAAGGCGCACACTTGATCAAGCGTCTCCATGAAGGGTAATAGAGTATTTGCCATGGGATCGTATTAACCAATCAAAACCTAATTTAACTACTTTTAGAAACCTATACCTAGGCTTATCTTGCAGTTATGACGACATTACCTCAATACATGCAATTATTGTGCTGAAAAAGAGAAATGCTTTGTCACAATTTTATTGAATTTGCCACCACTTGAAACTATGTTCATCTATGTACAGCATTTGTATTTGTGTTACCTATGGCATCTGCATTACCAATAACCATGTAAAAGGTTGTGGAAATACTTCTGATATATTTGAAATTATATTTCTCAATATATTACCTGATTTCCTTCTGAGATATAAGATGCCTTGTTCTGTTCCTGTCCTTGCTCCTTTCGTCTTGTTCAACTCTGAAGTCAAAATACATATATCTCTTTAATGGGACATGTGTACCTAGGATGCACATGTTAAGAAACTTTTTAAGCAATAGCTAAATTACTACATGCCCCTTGCTTATAGTAGAAGCTTACATGATAGACACCTTAAGAAGTTTAATATTCCACAATTTGAATAATTTGCATTAGTGCCGAGATTAGACACAAAACAATTATTGCTACTTCAATATTTACCAAACTAGGCACTTCCATATAATTGTCTAAAAAAATACACTAAATCAATTTAATTAAGTTTTCTTCAAAAACAGCAAATAAAGATTTTTGATAAAACAGTGTCCAATCTAAAGTATGACTTTCTGTTGCAACATTAAAACCTTAAGGGGCTAATAATAAACATGTTAAAATGAGCTGTCTCATTGGCAATCTTTTTAAAGTGCCATAAAATTTTGTATGACAGACCAGGCTTAAAATTTTGTATGACAGATGCATGTTTCGTCTACAAAAGACGCATCAGTGACACTTGAATAAAAAAAGTTAATAAATGGGGAATGTGTCCATGGGACGCAGACGATGCCCCCGCTAGCATATCATATTAAGTTATAATAAAGGGACATAACTGAAGAATGGTAAAAGTGACACTACCCAAATTTGTACTTGATCTGAGTTTTGTGGTAATAAGTATTGTGTTTAAGTTTCATAAAATTTGGTTGAGACAAACTTAAGCTAGAGAACGGTAATGATAAATTCAGCTATTTTTCCATTTGTAAAGGGGCATACTCTAGAATAATAAAAGTGACACCCCTAAAATTCAAACTTTAACTGTATTTTGTTGTAATAAGCATTGTGTATAAGTTTCATAACATTTGGTTGAGGCTAACTTAAGTTAGAGAACAGAAATCAGCAATTTTTCCATTTGTAAAGGGGCATAACTGTAGAACGGTATAAGTGACACTACCAAAATTCTAACTTGATCTGTGTTTTGTGGTAATAAGCTTTGTGTATAAGTTTCGTAGCATTTGGTTAAGGCAAACTAAAGTTAGAGAACGGAAGGAAAAATTCAGCAATTTTTCCATTTGTAAAGGGGCATAACTCTAGAACGGTTAAAGTGACGCCACCAAAATTCAAACTTGATCTGTATTTGGTAGTAATAAGCATTGTGTAAAAGTTTCAAAACATTTGGTTGAGGCTAACTTAAGTTAGAGAACGGAAACGAAAAATTCAGCAATTTTTCCATTTGTAAAGGGGCATAACTCTAGAACGGTTAAAGTGACGCCACCAAAATTCAAACTTGATCTGTTTTTTGTGGTAATAAGCATTGTGTGTAAGTTTAATAACATTTGGTTGAGGCAAACTAAAGTTAGAGAACGGAAACCAACTTTGGGACGTACAGACGGACAAGGGTAAAACTTAATGCCCCTTTCACTACGGCAGGGGCATAATAAAAAGGCCAAACTAACTTACCTTGCTTTAACATAAGATAGGAGTACTTTAGATCTACATATACAGTTGGACATCTGACGAGGGTCTGCTCGAGTCATGTGATACAGAAGTGGATAAAATTCCTTCTTCACCGATCGTAACTCTTTTGCTGCATCATAATTTACTGTAACCTGAAATATAGTGAAGAAGTATGGTAACATCAACAATTTTGCTATTGGACATTACTTTAAAGGAAATAAAAAATAAATTATGCAGACCAATTTTCATCAAAAACAGTTTGAAGGTTTAAGAGGTGAAAACATTTGAACTATAATGGAATGATCAACAAAAATAGTTCAGACTGACCATATCAAACAGGGCTAGGATGTATTTTAAGGCATCCATATGTTGAGGATACATGATAACATGTATTTAAAATGTATAAAGTTTGAGGAAATTCTTTAACCACAGGGGTGATTACTGACAAATTAAAGCAATTAATAATAAGGATTTTTGTGCAATTGATTAATAACATTACTTTTTGATTACTGTTAATTACATGCTAGAAAATTATGCTCAACATATTTATAGTGGAAATCCTGACTTTAACCCAGTGTTTAATATGTGTGGAGGCATAAACTTTAATGGAATGGTGTTAAAATCATATGTCTGAATTGTAATGTAATCATATTAAAAAAAAGAGATTTTGCAATGGTACTTTCAGGCCTTCTCAAGTGACAGCTATAATGATTTTGTGCAACTAATAAAACTAGAAAAAAAATAACAGCAACTAGGAAAACAGCAAACTTCCATATACTTTCAGATACATCATATCAAAAATTTTAAGCTTATAAAATTCTTAAATGTGTAACATGTGTAATATTTTCACATCATGACAGCTTATCTGTCAATGATAAAAACAATTGCAACATTATGTAATTGTTGACTATGACATTAAATATCTGTCACTGTGAGCCATAATTTATGCAGAATTTATACAACATGTTGTATTACAACAGCAGCGTCTACAGAGCTATTATTGCTTCACTGATAGCTATATATAAAAATAAGAAGATGTGGTATGATTGCCAATAAGAGAACTCTCTACCAGAGACCAAATGACAGAAGTTAACAACGTTAGGTCACTGTACGGCCTTCAATAATTAGCAAAACCCATACATCATTGTACATCATATGTATACCCAATGGCAAGAATTTACAATCTTCAACTCAATAAAGTAAATTAGATGGCTGATATTTGAAGGCATCTTGCCTTTTAAAAGAATTTTTGTACTGCTGTTTTTTTTTAATTTTAAATTATCCAAAAAATAATGGTAATTGTATCTTCCCTTCAAGGTTTTTTCTCCGACTAAATTTTAGTTGGACATTATTTCAGCCTTGTTTAATTTAAAATAATTGAGTAGTTTCATTGGGAACCTTTTAGGTCAATTGAACCAAAAAGAGATTATGCTGTAAGAAAACTCACCTCTACAGTAGTATCTAGTGGCCATGTTGTTCCTTTAATAAATTTTGGTATCCCAGAGTCCCTTTTATCCTTTTTTGAAAACATCTCATCTTCTGATTCTGATGAGTCTTGCTTGCTTCCATCACTGCTGTTGGTAGTTTTTACCTGCTGAAATATACAAAATATAAAATTTTAAAATCAAGCATGAGTGTGACCTGTATTGTTTTATAATATATTTTTTTTTTAATATTTGCAAACACCAATCCAGGATTTTGTTGTTGCACACTAATTAAGTTATTGATTTATCAGTAAAGCAAATTCAAAACATAATTTCAATCAGAATTTTTTTTTTTTAAGGGAGGGGGGTGTCATTGGTGAATGGTAAGTGTTAATGGGATATATTTTTGTTTAACATTGTCAGTGGTTGTCTTATGACATATCTTTGATAGTTTAGTTTGTTCATTTTTTCCTTTGACCTCTGGTGGATAGTTGTCTCACTGGCAATCATACCATATCTCCTTATTTTATACAATACAACCATATGACCACCTTTATCTGTGTGAGAGTAGGTTAAGATCAATAAAATTCTTGAACATACAGTGCTCCCTCTATAACAGAACTTCCTCATTAACTTCCACTTAATGCATAATTCCATTTTTCCAAAATGTATGTAATTTTTAAATAAACTTTTCCCATGATATACTACCAACTTCATCGCAATCATTTCCCCAGGTCCAAAAGGTGGAGATAAAGTGAGGATGCACTGTGGTTTTATATGTGACAATGGAGAATGAAAACAGCATTATTTACAAAGCCATATAAACAGCATACAAGAGTGCACACGCTGAAATGTCCCGCCTTCTTTATTAATCATTGATATTATGTTGATAGTCCTAAATATAAAGCTTTATTACAACTGTCACATAAACTTAACATTAACCAAGTAAACTAAACATTGACCAATGAACCATAAAAATGAGGTCAAGGTCAGATGAACCATGCTAGGCAGGCATGTACAGCTAACAATTCTTCCATACAACAAATATAGTTGACCTATTGCTTATAGTTTAAGAAAAACAGACCAAAACACAAAAACTTAACACTGAGCAATGAACCTTGAAAATGAGGTCAAGTTAAAATAAAACCTGCGTGACTGACATATAGATCATAAAATATTTCCATACACCAAATATAGTTGAACTATTGCATATAGTATTAGAAAAAAAGACCAAAACTAAAAAACTTAACTTTGACCACTGAACCATGAAAATGAGGTCAAGGTCAAATGACACCTGCCAGCTAGACATGTACACCTTACAGTCCTTCCATACACCGAATATACTAGACCTATTGCTTATAGTATCTGAGATATGGACTTGACCACCAAAACTTAACCTTGTTCACTGATCCATGAAATGAGGTCGAGGTCAAGTGAAAACTGTCTGACGGGCATGAGGACCTTGCAAGGTACGCACATACCAAATATAGTTATCCTATTACTTATAATAAGAGAGAATTTAACATTACAAAAAATCTTAACTTTTTTTTCAAGTAGTCACTGAACCATGAAAATGAGGTCAAGGACATTGGACATGTGACTGACGGAAACTTCGTAACATGAGGCATCCATATACAAAGTATGAAGCATCCAGATCTTCCACCTTCTAAAATATAAAGCTTTTAAGAAGTTAGCTAACGCCGCCCCCGCTGTAGCCGCCGCCGCCGGATCACTATTCCTATGTTGAGCTTTCTGCGACAAAAGTCGCAGGCTCGACAATAACTAGGTTCTCATCCCATTTTAAAATAAACTGCTTCGCTGAGCGCAGCTGGATACACCCGCAGAGGTCCAACCCTGAACAGTTAGGGCAAAAATGGACACAATATTCAAGCTTGATACACATGATACAGGTCTGAATTTGGATTGTAATTAAATATTTGACATATTATAGGTTTCTGAATAAATGTAGTCAAAGAACTTGAAATTGGTTATATGAATTGAATTTATATTCAATTAAAGATTTCTTGCTGTTGTGCAATACACTGTGCTGTTGCGCAATACTTAGTAAATCTGTTGTCAGACTATAAACAAATAAAGTTCAATTTCTTCTCAAAGTCATATTTGAAATTTATGAAAATCAATAGGGAGATTACAACAATAGCTATAAATTTTTCACTAAAGTTTCAAAAGAAATGCTGAAAGCATTTTTGAGTTATTGTCCAAAAACTGGAAAATCCCCCCTTTTTTAATGAATAAAACCCCATAACTCAGAAATGTAAAATCTAAAGTTTTTTAAAATTCTAAATGGAGCTTACATCAACAAATATAAACAATGCACCAAAGTTTCATGAGAACTGCTGAAAGCATTTTTTAGTTATTGTCCGAAAACTGGAAAATCCCCCTTTTTTTATGAATAAAACCCTGTAACTCGGAAACGTTAAATCTAAAATTTATAAAAATCCAAAAGGGAGCTCATGTCAATAGATATAAACAATTCACCAAAGTTTCATGCATATTGGTTAAAGCTTTTTTGAGTTAATGTCCAACATCATCATGACATGTTGACGACAAACGGACGGACGGACAGACAGACGCTCAACGGTATACCATAATACGTCCCGTAAACGGACGTATAAAAATAAACTGTTGTCACAGATGTCTCGCCTGTCGGCATAAAATTCAGAAAAAATAACTGAAGAACGGTAAAAGTGACGCTACCCAAATTTGAACTTGATCTGAGCTTTGTGGTAATTAGCATTGTGTGTAAGTCTCATAACCTTTGGTTGAGGCTAAATTAAGTAGAGAACAGAAACAAAAAATTCAGCAATACTTCTATTTGTAAACACGCATAACTCTAGAACGGTTGTGTATAAGTTTTATAACATTTGGTTGAGACAAACTAAAGTTAGAGAACGAAAACGAAAAATTCAGCAATTTTTATCTTTATAAAGGGACATAACTCAAGAACGGTAAAAGTGTCGCCACCAAATTTCGTACTTAATCTGTATTATGTAGTAATAAGCATTGTGTATAAGTTTCATAACATTTGGTTGAGGCAAACTAAAGTTAGAAAACGGAAACAAAAAATTTGTACTTGATCTTAGTTTTGTGGTAATGAATTTTGTGTATAGGTTTCATAATGTTTGGTTGGGGCAAACTTAAGTTACAGAATGGAAACTAAAAATTTTCCAATCTTTCGATTTATAAAGGGGCATAACTCAATAATGGTTAAAGTGACACTACCCAAATTCAACTTGATCTGTGTTTTATCAGTGGAAGTCAAAATTAAACATTGCATTGTATAAAGCATTGATTGTAGTTGATTCAACAAAGGAAGATAACTCCAATTTTAAAAATTACTTGATATTTAGAAGAAAATAAAAATTTGCAATTTTTCCATTTATAAAGGAGCATAACTCTAGAATGGTTAGAGTGACGCCAACAAAATTCAAACTTGATCTGTGTTTTGTGGTAATAAGCATTGTGTATAAGTTTCATAACATTTGGTTGAGGCAAACTAAAGTTAGAGAACGGAAACTTAATTTTTTGCAATTTTTCCATTTATAAAGGGGCATAACTCTAGAACGGTTAAAGTGACGCTAACAAAATTCAAACTTGATCTGTGTTTTGTGGTAATAAGCATTGTGTATAAGTTTCATAACATTTGGTTGAGCCAAACTTAAGTTAGAGAACGGAAACTAAAGATTTTGCAATTTTTCCATTTATAAAGGGGCATAACTCTAGAACGGTTAAAGTGACGCCACCAAATTTCAAACTTGATCTGTATTTTGTGGTAATAAGCATTGTGTATAAGTTTCATAACATTTGGTTGAGGCAAACTCAAGTTAGAGAATGGAAACCAATTTTGGGACGTACGGACGGACGTACGTACGTTACGTACAGACGGCCAAGGGTAAAACTTAATGCCCCCACCGCTTCGGCGGGGGCATAAAAATCTGATGGACAGCAAAATTGTTTATAAATTCAAAGTTGCTGGACCATGATCTAGTGGGCAGGGCCTGAAAATGGTCGACGAACAGACAGTAATGTAATTCTATAGAAAACAGTGTTGTCTATTGTAAGTACCGGTAGTTCCTATCAATCTAACAACATTAAAAATTGCTAATTAATTCAAAGTCAGTGGACCATATCTAGGGGGCAGGGCATCAAAATAGTTGTCAAACTGATATGTACTGATAGTAATGCAACTTTATAAGCAGAAAACTTAACAATTGTTGACGCCAACATACATGTAGTCATCGTTGACGGAAAAGCAATCCCTATCTCGCTTCAGCATCTTTTGTTGCAAGCAAGACAAACACAGGCCAATTTCATTTTTCTCTTTTTGGAATATAAATCGCTTCGATTTTTAAATGTTGAGTTGAAATGATGAGCTTTGTTTTCTAGATCTCTTCTAGAGCATATACTGTACTCTATATTATATACTGTAAATTCAGTAATTACTTTCTACATTATTGTGATTGTTGGACCACAGATGCTTATACATCTATAATTGGACAATGGACAATAAAATGCTTCGCTGAGCTCAGCCTGATACAACCGCAGAGGTCGAACCCTGAACAGTTTGGGCAAATTTGGACACAATATTCAAGCTTGATACTGTCTGAATTTGGATTGTGATCAAATTTTTGACATAATATAAGTTTCTGACACAAAATAAATGTGGTCAAAGATCTTACAAATCTATTGCGCAATTCTGTGCAATTGAAGATTTCTTCTTGAAACTATTCAAAAAATCGAAATTTGAAAAATTTTGAAAAAAAATATGAATCCCTTAAAAAAATTGGAAACCATCCCCCCAACTTTTTGAAACCCTCTTGGAGCAATAACCCCAAAACTCAATCCAAGCCTTTCCTTTGTAGTATTGAACATTGTAGTACAATTTCAGAGAGATCCATACACTTAAACACAAGTTAGTGTCTGGAAACTAGAAAAATGCTTGTTTTTTGCCCCTAATTCCTACATGTTTGGGGCAATTAACCCCAAACTCAATCACAGCCTTCCCTTTGTTATATGGAACCTTGTGGTACAATGTCAGAGAGATCCATACACTAACACACAAGTTATTGTCTGGAAACTAGAAAAATGCTTGTTTTTGTCACCTTTTTGGCCCTTAATTCCTAAACTGTTGGCTTTACCCCTTAAATGAATCCCAACCTTATACTTGTGGTATTCAACATTGTGGTACAATTTCAGAGCAGTCGAAATAATTATACACAAGTTATTATCCTGAAACTAGAAAAATGCTTGTTTTGGGCCACTTTTGGGCCCCTAATTCCTAAACGGTTGGGACCATCATCCCTAAAATCAATCCCAACCTTCCTTTTGTGGTATTGAACCTTCTTAAAAAATTTCATAGAGATCCATTCACTTCAACTAAAGTTATTGTCCAGAAAACAATGTGTCTTCGGACGACGACACAGACAACGATGACATCATACCATTATACGAACCAAAAAAATTTTTTGCGGTCATATAAAAATGTACAAATAATGCTTTTATTTAAAATGCGATTTTTATTTTTTTTAAAGCTATCCTGTTGCCATTTTTTTTAAATAAATTTAATTTATTCTAAAAACATTACAAAAATTTCTGAATTAACAGTATCAAATCCTATAATTTCTTGTTTTACGTACTGTTTTCTTTGCTTCATCTGTTTTCTTTATTTCCTGAAATTAAAAAGATACAACAAAAATTAATAAAATGCTTCGCTGGGCGCAGCTTGATACGACCGCAGAGGTCGAACCCTGAACAGTTGGGGCAAGTATGGACACAACATTCAAGCTTGATACAGCTCTGAATTTGGATTGTGATTAAATATTTGACACAGCATAGGTTTCTGATACAGAAAGAATGTGGTCCAATGTCCAAAATCAAAATACATGGTTAGATTCAGCATATCAAAGAACCACATATATTCAATTTTTGTTGAAATCAAACAAAGTTTTATTTTGGACCCCAACTTTGACAAACTTGAAAACTGGTCCCATAATCAAAAATCTTAACACATGTTTAGATTCAGCATATCAAAGTACCCCAAGAATTCATTTTTTGTTAAAATCAAACTAAGTTTAATTTTGGACCCTTTGGACCTTAATGTAGACCAATTTAAAAAACAGGACCCAAAATTAAAAATCTAAAAACACGGCAAGTTTTGGCATATCAAAGAACCCCAATAATTCAATTTTTGATGAAATCAAACAAAGTTTGATTTTGGACCCTTTTGACCTCAATATGAACCAATTTGATAGCGGGCCCACAAATAAAAAATCTAAATACAAGGTAAGATTCAGCATATCAAAGAACCCCATATATTCAATTTTTGTTGAAATCAAACAAAGTTTAATTTTGGACCCCAATTTGGACCAACTTGAAAACTTGGCCAAAAATCTAAAATCTAAATACATGTTTAGATTCAGCATATCAAAGAACCCCATATATTCAATTTTTGTTGAAATCAAACAAAGTTTAATTTTGTTGTTCGACCCCAACTTGGACCAACTTGAAAACTGGGCTCATAATCAAAAATCTAAACACATGTTTAGATTCAGCATATCAAAGAACCCCAAAAATTCAATTTTTGTTAAAATCAAAATAAGTTTAATTTTGGACCCTTTGGACCTTAATGTAGACCAATTTAAAAAACGGGACCCAAAATTAAAAATCTAAATACACGGTTAGATTTGGCATATCAAAGAACCCAAATAATTAAATTTTTGATGAAATCAAACAAAGTTTAATTTTGGACCCTTTTGACCTCAATATGAACCAATTTAATAGCGGGCCCACAAATAAAAAATCTAAATACATGGTAAGATTCAGCATATCAAAGAACCCCATATATTCAATTTTTGTTGAAATCAAACAAAGTTTAATTTTGGACCCCAGTTTGGACCAACTTGAAAACTGGGCCAAAAATCTAAAATCTAAATACATGTTTAGATTCAGCATATCAAAGAACCCCATATATTCAATTTTTGTTGAAATCAAACAAAGTTTAATTTTAGACCCCAACTTGGACCAACTTGAAAACTGGGCCCATAATCAAAAATCTAAACACATGTTTAGATTCAGCATATCAAAGAACCCCAAGAATTCAATTTTTGTTAAAATCAAACTAAGTTCAATTTTGGACCCTTTGGACCTTAATGTAGACCAATTTAAAAAACGGGAACCAAAATTAAAAATCTAAATACACAGTTAGATTTGGCATATCAAAGAACCCAAATAATTCAATTTTTGATGAAATCAAACAAAGTTTAATTTTGGACCCTTTTGACCTCAATATGAACCAATTTGATAGTGGGGTCCACAAATAAAAAATCTAAATACATGGTTAGATTCAGCATATCAAAGAACCCCATATATTCAATTTTTGTTGAAATCAAACAAAGTTTAATTTTTGACCCCAATTTGGACCAACTTGAAAACTGGGCGAAAAATCAAAAATCTAAATACATGTTTAGATTCAGCATATCAAAGAACCCCATATATTCAATTTTTGTTAAAATCAAACAAATTTTAATTTTGGACCCTTTGGACCTTAATGTAGACCAATTTGAAAACTGGATCCAAAATTAAAAATCTAAATACATCGTTTGATTCGGCATAACAAATAAATAAATGTGGTCAAAGATTTTACAAATCTAATGCGCCATACTGTGCAATTAAAGATTACTTCTTGAAATTTTTCAATATTTGAAATTTGAAAAAAAAATAATATTTGAAGAATAATTCTTTTTCATTTCTGAAATCTGAAATGAGAAAAAATTGACCCCCCACAATTTCTTTTTACCCCCCCCCCCCCCCATTTTTTCCCCCAAACCATAATTACCCATTTAAATTTACCATAGTGCTAACTTAATCTATTTTATAATAGAATTTAAAATATAGTGTCAAATCTTTCATATGGATTTTTTTGTAAAAAAAAAAGATGCAACATTTGCAGATATTTTTACTGGTCTTCCTTTATAAATATGCATTTCTTTAAACATAATTTAAAAGCAGTGTAAGGGAAGTAACCAAAACGTTGTATTTGGATTACCTCCCTTACACTGTTTTAAATTATCTTAATTGTTCATTAACCATTACTTAATACATAATTTAAAAGCAGTGTAAGGGAGATAATTTCAATGATGTATTTGATTTATCTCCCTTACACTGCTTTAAATTATGTTTTGTACTAAAGTATTTGTCCATTAACCAGGACAACCTTGTTTTTCCCCCTTTTTTGCCCCTAATTCTTAAACGGTTTGAGCCATAACCCCTCAAAGCAAATTCTTACCATCCCTTTGTCGTATGGAAACTTGTAGTATAATTTCATAGAGATCCATACACTGTTCCACAGTTATTGTCTGGAAACTAGAAAATGCTTATTTTTGGCCCCTTTTTGGCCCCTAATTCCTTAACTGTTGATACCATAACCCCCAAAATCAATCCCCACCTTCCTTTTGTTGTATTGAACCTTATGGTAAAATTTCATAGAGATCCATTCACTTAAACTAAAGTTAGAGTGCGAAAACTAATGCGTCTTCGGACGACGACGACGCCAACGTCATACCAATATACGACCACAAAAATTTTTTTGCGGTTGTATAAAAACTACTGAACTTTGAGATGTAATAACAGTCAGATCTGAACATTGCAAAAAAAAAAAATAGGCCAAGAGTTCCTGGCCTCCTTAATCTCAGAATTGGACTTTCTGCTATCTAATTGAACAAATTCTAAATACTTAGTCATTAGTTCAAAGCATCTTTTAAATCTTTTGAAAAAAAAAAAAACTACTGTATTTTTTTGTTTATTTACCATTTTTACAGTCTTTCAATTACTGATAAGGAGCTTGAGTATAATAATAGATGGCTGATGATTCTTTTTACATTCTCTCAAGTATAGATCTGACAAAGTAAAAAAGACAATTGACTATTTGGGAAAAACTATCAAAATATTCTTTAAGTAAAGAAATATCGTCCTTTAATAAATACTATCACATTTTCTAATTAATAATATTTTGTCATGATTCATTAACTTGACTAGTTATCAATATGCAGATTGAAGAAAAGTAGAGATTGCAATTGGTGTCAAAGAAAAGAAAAAAAAAGATATAAAAAAGCATGGCAAAGATCGTGAAGATATTGCTGTTGTTCAAGTCAGTTGATCATTTTTAATGAAATTGACCCAAAAAATTAGTACATAAAGAAAAAAAAAAGAAAAATAGTGTACCTTTTTCTTTTTGTCATCATCTTTGTTGATAACTGATGTTTTTGTTCGTGCCATTACTTCTGTCTCTCCCTGGAAAGAAAGTCAATACTATTAACGTTTCTATCTATCTATTATAATTTTCAAGATAATAGGCAAAAACACAAAAAAAACTGGTAAGGATTGTTATTAAAGGGCAATAACTCAAATAAGGACTGGTCTGATGATTTCAGCCATGTTGATTTATTGATCATGTTGATAGATCTTGTCATGTTTGAGGGGGGGGTTGTACCTTTATCGGGACCCCGGGATCCAGTTGTTTTTAAGCTCGGGATTTCGGGATTGATCATTTCGGGATCCGGGAATTCTTTTTTCGAATTTTTCCGACCCCCCATGTTTATCATTAATATTATTTGTGGTATTGAAAATTTCTTTCTTTCTGTTACAGTTTTCAGGATAAAACATGTAAAAGGAAAAAAAATTGTTAAAATTCATCCTTTAAATGCAATAACTACTTTGAGAAGTAACTTGACAGTTTTGATGTAAATGAACAGTAGGTAGATCGTTTCATTTGTAACATTTTTGCCCTGTTAGATTTTCTCTATTATAGCGATTTTCAAGATAATAGACAAAACTTGCATTTCACGGGATTTTTCCTCGTGTTCAATTTTTAGCCATGTTGGTTGGTAGGCAGGATATTTGGTCACAAAGATGCAAAGTTCGAATTGGATCTTGATATAACTGTTAATGGTTGTTTTGAAATTCATGAAATTGTTAAAAATTTATCAATAAAGATAAACATGATAAATACATGCAGATAACATGGTCCTCAGTTGTTTTATATTTAATATCTTGTATTCCTGGTACTCTACAGTGCAGATCAAATTTAAATAATTATTTGGTAGCAGCAATACAAAAGGGTAAATAAGAATGGATTACCCCACATGATGAATGCCAGTAAAATATTTGTTAAAATAATGTAAGCGATAAATAATTTACTCCATTTGACACGAACGGTAGCTACAAAATGAGATTTGACGAATGACGATAAAAAAGTAAGGCTCATTCGAAGCTAATGGTAGCCAAATACGATAAAGGGCATTCCTACCCTCATATACAACATAAAAATTCTGCGAAATTTTCAACAAACTTTAACATACTCTTTTCAAATAATAAGCACTAGAACACACCAACGAAATCGTGGGCATTTACAGCGTTTGAAAGTATGTAACCTGTTGTAGGATGAATTTTTGTAAAGGATTTTATGACTGGAGAATTTCAGGAAAGGCATCAAAAGTATCTTAAACATGAACTGATGTCAATATAACATTTTGAATTTTTCTCCAGTTCAAAATATTGGATGTAAATCTAAAGAATGTCAACACAAAGGTCAAATATTTGTAGTAACATGAACGCACAATTTTTAGGAGTCCAGTTGTCACCATGCTTTTTGTTTCGTTGTTCAGAAGACAGAATAATAGATATGTTAACCTTTTCAATTTCAGTCACTCTAAAACGGATTCCACCAATGAAATCAGATTATTATGTGATATTTGCAAATAAGATTGGAATTATGAATAGAGCCATAATAAAATACTCAATAAACAATGCGATTTGTGCACAAAACCGTCATATTTCACTGAAATCTGGAAATGGCGCCAGACTTAATAAGGTGTTGACTTTTAAGAAAGCAAATTAATTCTAATATGGGGTGCTTATTACGTCATATGAATAGAGCCATAATAAAATTCTCAATAAACCACAACCACTATAACTATACTAAAATACTATTTGTGCACAAAAACGTAATACTTTACTGAAATGGCATCAGACTTTTCAGTGGCAAACTTTACTTTATTAGAATCAAAATAATTCAAGCATTCCATAGATTTGTTTTCATTTTCACATGACCTGAGTCGTTATATTCGTTAATTCTATCCCTTGCTTACGCTCTGGATAAAATTCCAATATAACAGCCCAGGCCATGTGAAAATTTTCAACAAATCTATGGCTTGCATTTCTGTGTAATTTTAAACAATCCTAATCGGAAGTCTTGTCTATGACTTAAAGTCCGTCCAATGACGGAAACAATATCCGGACGCCTTTATTTTCATTTTCCTCCCAAAATAACCCAAACGGAATAATCATAAGCAGGATGACAAATACGACTATGCATGGTACCTATAGGACACAGAGGCATGATGATTAATTTATTGTGGAAGGAAGAGAAGCGACACACAAAATGAAGTCTTCTCATTTATAGTATAAATTATTCAACAAGACAACATAATAAAATAAAAAAAAGAGCGAACTGACCCAGGGCAAACAAATATTAGGGCAAACAGGTACTAGGGAGAAAGTGAATTAGGGCAAACGGACCCCGATTCCCATATTATCTAAATCACAGGGCAATTACCCCACTGCTTTGCATTTGATATTTCATAGGTAAAGATATATACTACAAGGTGCTTAATAAAATAAACTGTGAGCACTTTATCTATGTAAGTCCAAGCCTATATTCAATATAATTTGTCTGACAAGTGACATGTCTGAGCTGAGGCCAATTTTGAGTAAAAATTAAAGTGTTCACATGAGCCAGCTAAATTCAGACATTGTTGGATAAAGACTTGTAACGCGAAATTAATGAGAAAGATTACCTGAGCTGTTATGCTTCTGCATACAAAGTAAACAAATTATTCTAGCACACTTGTTGAAAGTTCATGGTTCTGCAAGTTTACAAAAAGGGGAATACCCGAGAACTTCCGAAAGAAAACCAAGATGTCTGCCCGCATAAAAAATAGAAAGTTATTGTATTTGGTTAAACGCCTTTATAATAATCCAGCAGTTCTAGATACACCTGTTAAATTGGTAAATTGATGGAAACTCATTTCTCTACAGTACAAACTTTACAAAGTGACAATTTTTGCGTCTACTTTTCTTTGGTTATATGAAACTTATAATGACCTGGTAAGGGAGATAACTATTCCGTGTTCACTTTTGTAGCTCACTTGGCCCGAAGGTCCAGTATGAGCTTTTTCCATAACTTGGCGTCCGTCGTCTGTCGTTTGTTAACTTTTGAAAAGATCATCTCCTCTAAAACTACGTGCAAAATTTATCTAAACTTGGCCAAAATCATTTATCATTCAACACGACAACAGACCACTTTTTAGTTCGTTGCATTTCCGTCAAAAATTATGGTTTTAGTGAACATCATTTGTGTTCTTAGGGCATCGTCACTTCCTTCTCATGAAAAAATATGATGCTGTATTGCACAAATTATTCGGCAAATTAAATTCTTATAATATTGATAATTAGCACTTATAAGCTGACTGTTATTAGGGAATTGTGGTTAAGTAATTGAAGAAGTAAAAAAAATATACTTATATAAGTTAATTATAATGTTTGAATAATCTCTTAATAAATCTTGTATAAGTAAATTTTTTTTACAATCCCACAAAAATTCTCAAGTTTTGAGATGTAAAAACATGCCTTTAATGATTTTTCCCAGGTTAGCTAATAATTTTTTAATAGAGTTCAATGTTTCATCTCATTAATTCAACAAAGAAACTGATTGCGCAAAGATCTTAAGTATTTGCGTAAGGCCTTCAAAAATTGCTCCTTGGGGGCTTGTAAATGAGGAGTGTTGACTAAAGATAACAGACAAATGAGATGTTCATTGTCCATGAAATTACACTTATATGACTAGTTAAGACATCTGCAAAGGACAGACAATTTAAAATTCTATTAGAGCAAAGAAGTCATAAGAATTCAAGAAAAGAAGATAGGATGACCTTTTCACTTATATAAGTAAAAAAATCTGAATGTCTAAGGGACATAATCCCGTATGAAAAACATGACACGTACTCCAGCCTGACAGTAGCCGTACTGTAGCCGTACTGAGAACCGTACTTATAATATTCATTTGGTCTTTTCTTTGAATTGCTTATAATAGATACCCCGGCTGGACTTTCAGCGAAATTAGCCGTAAACCGGCTCGAAATATTTAAATTAGCAGGAGTCCGGTTCATAAAGTCCAGCTGGACTTTAATAAAAGTACGTCTGAAAAAAAATCCAGCCGGCATTTGTGGCAAAAATATGAACTCTATAAAGTTCAGCTGGATTTTACAAAGTCCGGCTGAACTTTAAAAAGTCCAGCTGAACTCTATAAAGTCCAGCTGGACTTCAAAAAGTGCGGTTTGACTTTTAAAGATGATCTCAGCAGGGGCGAATCCTGCCATTTTCAAAAGGGGGGTTCCTAACTCAGGATAAAGGGGGGGGGGGGGGGTCCAACCCCCGGAACCCTCCCCCTGGATCCACCACTGCTCAGTTTTTCTTCAGATGGTTGGTTCTTCTGATTTAATTTGCATCATGCATCCCTTGCTATAATCTGAAAATACAAAAACAACAGATGACATTATGCATTTATACTGGTTATTTCTTTTTCTTTTTTGTACTGTCTTACTGGCAAAAACCAAGAAATGGGGAACTGAGAAGCTAAATGCCAACTTCTAAAAATTTGTGGTTATAATAGCCTAAATAATTTTAAAGTGGCTAAAAATAAAATAAAGTTGGCTTTGAAAATCACTTAAAGTGTAGAGATAAAAAAACTTTCAAAACAACTCAAATAATAACCATTCCTTAATACAGAGGGAATAAAAAAATATAACAATACATTTTTTTTACATAACAATTCAAAACAGGAAGTGACAGTGACATAATTACAGACATGATGAAAATTATTGCATGAATATAAATATTTGATGTAGGTTTTTTATTCTTTTTACTCTTCAAAAATAAGAATTAAGCTATTTATAATATTGTAATTATTCTATTAATATGTTGAATAAAAAGAGCATATCAGATAATATCACCAAAATGGTGGAATTCAATTTATTGTACTTACCAGAATATGCAATCCAAAACGCATGCAAACAGCAATCTTCCTAAATCGTCATTGATGCCAGTCAGAAGGATCCATCTTCTCTATGTAATGTGAAAAGAACTACTTCCAAACATTTGCTTTACACAAAATTATGTAAAATTCTCATTTTGTTCAAGAAAGATTAGACACATCTTCCTGTTTTTTCCAAATTCAAATTGTGTTGTATTGCAATACATGAGGTTGTTTAAGGAGTTGTTTTAAATGTTCTTCTTATGACTAATTGCATGTGCCTTAATTTTGAATATGTGATATATTAAAAAAAGAAAATCAATTATTAATTTGTTTGATTATGAAATTTTTAATAAAAGTGATAGTAATTGCAGAAATATGTATTTCGAAATGTGTTCTCCTTACATATGGCCTCAATCACTGTGGAGATAATACTTCCTGTGACCTGTCCAGACTGAGGTTAATTGAAAACAGATGGCACATTTCTACAAGACTAACTGCTATTAAATCACTGTTATATGGCTCAAGTTTCTAATTGATGTTAAAGAATGAATGATAATTATTAATTTTATGCATTCATCTAATCATCTAATTAAAAATATAAATATAGTAGAAAATGAATAAATTTAACCTGTAACACTGATGTTGCTAGTATTTTTTTTTATGAAAAAAGTAGAAATGTTAAATTATTGTTGTATTAAACATATTAACTTGGATTTAATTCAATCAAAAGTCACCAAAATTAAATTTTAACTTTCCATGAACAGTCTATGTTAAATATTCCATAATGGAATTGAAAATCTAGGGAAAGTATCACATCTTATAGTTTGAACTAAAAGTATATTGAAAAAAAATTTTTTATCATTATTATTATTACTTGCAAACTTTCATTTTTAACTGTTTTATATTTTGAAAGAATTGTTCCTTTCATAGAATAGAATCTATTGTGGCAAACTTTTTATTTCTGTAAGGGTAGATTTGGCTGATGAAAATTTTCTAAGTCTAAATTCCTGCTCATAAATGAATGTAAAATTTTCTAAGACAAAAATCCTGCTGATCATTCTACAGAAAGGAATAAATTTCCTCAAAAGTCCAGCCGTGTTTATTTTCTTGTCAGCATTACAAAAAGTGCGGTTGGACTTTTAAGAAAATACCGGCTGGCAAATAACCAAAGTATAAGAAAAAGTACGTGTACGGCTCATGTCAGACTGGACTTTTCAAAGTCAGACTGGAATACGTCTCAAATCCAGCTGGAGTCCAGTTGAACTCCTGTTGAAATTTTCATACGGGAACTAAGTTAATTTTATTTTTACCTATACAAGTAAATAAAATACAATTGTATAAGTATCCTTCAAATTTACTTATATAAGTATATTAATATTACTTCTTCAAGTAAATAAAAATTACTTGTACAAGTAGTACCCCTGACTGACAGGGCGCATAATTGTCGAACTTTTCTGGTGACGGACATATTACTCCAAAGTGGTCTATTGGGTATCTAGTTTAGAAACACAGTGGCAGATCCAGAAATTTTCATAAGGGGGCCTACTGACTGCCCCAAGTTTGGGCCGCTCCAATTATTCTTCAGTGATTCCCTATATAATCAACCAAATTTTTCCCACAAAAGGGGGGCCCGGGATCCGCCTATGAAACATGTTGTCTTGAAAAATGCTATAGATAGAAAAAATCTGATAGGGGCAAAAATGTTCAGAATGATGAGATATAACCTAATGTATACTGACATCAAAACTGTCAGACAACTTGTTAAGGGAGATTCTGCCCTAAAACTGTCAGACGACTTCTTAAAGGAAACAAATTTTACCAATTTTTATACGACCGCAAACAAATTTTGCGGTCGTATATTGGTATGATGTTGGCGTCGTTGTCGTCCGAAGACACATTGGTTTTCGCACAATAACTTTAGTTTACGTGAATGGATCTCTATGAAATTTTACCATAAGGTTCAATACCACAAAAGGAAGGTTGGGATTGATTTTAAGGGTTATCATGGTTATGGTACCAACAGTTAAGGGGCCAAAAATAAGCAGTTTTCTAGTTTCCAGACAATAACTTGTAGAATAGTGTATGGATCTCTCTGAAATTATACCAACAGTTTCCATACCACAAAGGGATGGTTAGGATTTGCTTTGGGGGGTTATGGCTCAAACCATTTAGGAATTAGGGGCAAAAAAGGGGGAAAAACAAGGATGTTCTGGTTAATGGACAAATACTTTAGTACAAAACATAATTTAAAGCAGTGTAACTTACACTGCTTTTAAGTTATGTATAAAGTAATGGTTAATGAACAATTAAGACAATTTAAAAGCAGTGTAAGGGAGGTAATCCAAATACAACGTTTGGATTACCTCCCTTACACTGCTTTTAAATTATGTTTAAAGAAATGCATATTTATAAAGGAAGACCAGTAAAAATATCTGCAAATGTTGCATTTTTTTTTTTTTTACAAAAAAATCCATATGAAAAATTTGACATTCTATTATAAAATAGATTAAGTTAGCACTATGGTAAATTTAAATGGGTAATTATGGTTGCAAACTCCATTGGAAATTTTAATTGAGATTATGACGGCAGATATAAGTACACTGATGTTGCACACTTCGAATGATGCACTGCCAATTTAACAGTTTACGTCAGAACTTCCAATTTGAATCAAAGAAAGTTTAATACAGGGCTTCCGAAATTATTTTTAGCCAGCCGGACATATTATGTATTATCCCGATTTTAATCCCTTAAGATTAAAGAAACAAAAGGCAATTATGGTAATCAGTTGCCGAGTTGGCCATCCCAATGATTGACATTAGTCATTAAAAAAAACGATATTAAATTTTCTTTGATTCAAATTCGAAATTCTGACGTAAACTGTTAAATTGGCAGTGCATCATTCGAAGTGTGCAACATAAGCGTACTTATATCTGCCTTAGACTCTTTATTTTTGCAAAATAACGTTGTCAAAAAC